CGCTGCATCACCTGTCGTTGTTTTCCCACTGTGCTGCCTCCTGCTTCCTCTCCCCTGCGGTCGGAGAAATATGGCCTAGTTTTCTACCCTCCAGGTCTGCCTGTACACTCTGCTTCCCCGCTACCGCAGCTGCTGAGTGCAGGGCTTTCTCGACACCACAGGGCAGCAGATAGGCTGGGGAGCCCTGGAGCCTGGCAAGAGAATCAAAGTCCCGGCGGTGAGAGTGAGTGGTCCAGCTATCATGGAGTGGCTTCCAGCTTTGGCATGTCTGGCAGATAGCAGCTAACACTTGTATAGTGTTCCCTTCCTGATGGAGTCTCTGTTTGGAGAACGATCTCCCTGAAAGACCCACACACTGCTTTCTGTTGTTCAATGAATGAAGGTACGGAGGACATAGTGCTGTTAAAAAGTATGTGTCCTTTTAGGATTTGGTTATATATATATATTTTTTTACTTGTCAGATCATCAAGCACATTTTAACACACTGCAAAGAAAAACTCAATAAATTCTTTTTTTATTTTAGCGGTGGCTCTTTACTGTATAGTAGTCTGAGAGGAAAGGGGGTATGAGAGAGAGACATGCGGTAAAGGACCACAGGCCAGACTACAGTACGTCAAGGACTATGGCCTCCGTACATGGGTTATGCACACCAACCATCGCACCACTGAAGCACGCCCAGGATATTTTTAAGGGGGAAAAAAAACGAAACCTAACTGGATCATTTTGAAAAAGTAACCCTTCTGAACCAAACAAACTCCTGTGCTAAGCCAGATTGCAGCAGCTGCCATCATTAGTGATACCTCTCTTCCATCACAGTGCTTTCATTCATCTTTGTTTAGAGCTGGACTAGCTTGTGTGCTTAGATTGTTGTCCTGCACCATTTCCAAAGTGTACTTGACAAGATGCATGGTCCTGACAGATGGCTAGGGTGTCACCATCAGGTTTTGCATGTGATCAGTGTCCTGCAGCAGTAAAGCACCAAAGCTCAGCTGCGACGGGACTCACCCCTTCCATGAGGGTCCACATTTGTCTTGCCCGTATTAAAATTTTCCCTAAAGTGTTGGGAATCTCAAAGATATTTCTTGGGGTGTGTATGATCTGTCTCATAATTAATTTTTGTCCGCAGTGCTTTAAAAACCTCCATGGATGCCCAGTTTTTTTTTTTTTATTATTCAATCATGAACAGTTACATTAACTGAGGCCTGCGATGCTTTACATGTTTTTGATATGTTTATGACCCTTCTGGATGAGTGGTCGATGTAACCTTGGAGTAATTTTGGTAGCTTGGTAACTGACACCACTGCACTTTTGTCTATATCGGCCCTCAGTGTGATCTATAAATGATCCAAACATTAAAAAATAATTTGTTGCCCTTTGAAGACTAGATGAGAAAGACTTTGTCGTTCATCTACTCCTAAGTTTCGTCAGATCAGGGTGTGATTTGTTCTTTTGAAGACATTTTTGCTTTACAAAAAAATTCTATTTAAGAAGTGTGTCTATTCTACAGGTCCAGTACTGAACAGGCTAATTGTGGTACAGCACAGTAAATGCTTTAATCGGAGGTTTGTATTCATTCTTTGTCTGAGAAAATTTGCTTGAGGTTTTAAACCAATAAGGTTTTGCAAACAAGCTAAAGTATAATATATCTGTGATGGGACCAAGAAATAAGCTGTTAGTATAGGATATTGTTTTTCAAATAGTGACTGAGATAGTTGCTTCTAACAGCTTAGATTTCTATTTGTGCTCATGGTTGACTGGAGTTATCGTACATGCTTTGAGTGTGAGACAGGGAAACACCATCAACAGCTCCTTACTTTATCGCTAACGTAGACACACTCCTGACCAATTTAGAGTCCTCCACTTGACTCCCATTCTGCGTTATGCCAGTAAAAAGCCAAACATAGAAACTACACAGTCAAAAGCATAAAGCCTGACAGCTTCCTGAAAGTGCAAAAGAAAAAAGCCAGAGCATGTGTACAAGACAGTTATAGCTTAAAAAATGTTGTGTTTGAAGAGTGTAAGACAAAGACTGTATGTCTGAGGAGAACTTTATTCAAACATAAATCCAGCTCTGGGCAAATAGTCCAGTATTTATAGATGTGGGCAAATTTGTTGCAAACGTAGGAGATATACTTTTTAGTAAATTCATACTGTGAAAAAAAACATATTTATTATTGTTTTCCACTATCATGACTTCCAGTGTTATTAACCTGTTGTTTATACTTTGTATGATTTCCGCCAATAATAGGACAGTACTTTCTGTTCTAGCATAACTTCTTGTAAGTTTGAAATTAACTGAGAGAGATGATTTCTGTCTCTCTTTGCACAACCTTGTGCTCTATTAAGCTCTTTTGCATATACCAGGGTCTAAAAATGGGATTTTTTTTCTACATAGGAAAATAAATTAATTATATATATTATAGTTAAGAATATCTCTGTCTCTGCATTCAAATCTCTGTCCTTTATCTGTGCCATGGAAATCCTTTTTTTATTTTTACATGTATTCTTCCATTTATCCAAATATCTGCTATATATTTATTGAAAATTTTTTGTAATTTGAAAGGTGTACTAAAACATAAAACAGTTAGCTTTAAAATAAATAAAAAAAAAGAGTCTAGAAAATATGCAAGTTTAAAATAAAAAATGTAACTGATTGATTTATTTTCTACTTGTTTATTTTTTTGTTACTTAACCAGATTTTCATTTAGAATAAAATGAAAATCTTTCTTGAAGTGTCCATGATAAGGTATCCAGCATGTTATTTTTACCAAAATTATTAGTGACCATTTTTTTTAGATAATGACCTTTCTTTCACCAGCCCAGAGTGGTAGTTGCAGAAATATTTCATTTTCAGGTTGATTTTAACAAACGCAGTTCAATATAAAGTTCCAGGAGTGTAGGATATAAAGGAGCAGAGATGGCAAAAGTACTCACTTTCCGTATTTGAGTAAAAGTACAGATACTTGTGTTAAAAAATACTCTGGTAAAAGTGGAAGTACTGATTAAACTTCTTTACTCAAGTAAAAGTAACAAAGTACAGGCTTGTAAATTTACTTAAAGTATAAAAGTAAAAGTAGAAACCACTTTTTTCATGCTGTTGCCTACATTTTAAATGGATGTCTGGCAATAGGACTAGATCTCCGTTGTGTTCTTTTTCAATCATCTCGCCACCGCCACCAAGCTGCAATGCTTTGCCGCCAATGAATACCGCCGAATCTGTCGATTCATCTTGTAGTGGTGCGTCAAATGCAACGTAGATTCCCATCCAATTAGATTGAATTTGGTATTGATGATGTGAAAAATAATAACGGTAACTCCATTGAAATTATTCAAAACTAAAGTAACGAGCCAATTTTTTAAAATGTAAGGAGTAGGAAGTACAGATATTTGTGTAAAAATGTAAGGAGTAGAAGTAAAAAGTCACCATGAAAATAAGTAGTAAAGTAAAGTAAAAATATCATAAAAATCTACTTGAGTACAGTAACGAAGTATTTGTACTTCGTTACTTCCCATCTCTGTAAAGGAGTGTATGAGATATATAGATTTATTTTACTCTCATTAAATAAAATACATATTTACACCAAAGGGAAACAGAACAATCCCAGAAACTGTAAGTCAAGTAAAAAAAGATATATGTATAATAAATTGGATTTTTAACAGTAAAACTGATGGTTCTGTAAGACAAACACATTTAAATCAGATAATAACACAGTTAATGACCAATTGTACTTGTACTAGTTGGAAAAAAACCTTCACATTCATTTAACATTTTAAAAGACATATTTAAAAGCAATAGCAATAATCAAAGCTGCATCTGATGTGTAGAAATACAGCTGTACTCTGCTAGTACATTTTAAGGCCTCCTAAAGAAGCTTTTATCCTCCAAAGTTACCTTTTTTTTAGTCACATGAAGATGTCAAAAGGAAAATATGCAATCATAAGACCACTCATAGAGCCCTGTTGGTTAAAGGCCTCTTAAGTTGCTCATTCATACTCTAGACATTAAATCACAAAAAAAGCTAATTGAAGTACCACACATTTAATTTAGAAAGGGTTACTCATGTATCTCAAATATTGTTGAAGAATGATAATTTTCAGCTTAAAGCTATATCTGCCTGTTGGAGTGGGACAACCTCTGGCGTCCCATGGCCCATTAATCTAATTGGCATCTTTTTGTTCAGAGATTATCTTAAAACATCCTGTTTGCTCTCCTTAGTGGATCCGCTGCAGTCTAAACGGCACCAACCGTCCCAACAAACAGATGGGCTGCATCCAGACCTGACCTCTTCTCTCACATTAACCTGCAACTTGTTCAGCTATTTTAAGTGCTATAGCATGTTTTACAGCTGACCGACACTCACTTCTTCGCTCTCCATCCAGCTACATCGATACTCTGTAGCATCGCTGCATTTATCTAGGAGCACGGTTGAGTGCTGAGGTCATGGCACGCCATCCACCCCCAAGACAGCTGTGGTATGAAATGTGATGCATGCCGAGTTCCTGAAAGCACATCATATTAGATAGCTTGCCCTTGAAAGCTAGCTCTATGATAAGGGAGGTATGCAGAGCAGGAGACTTTGGCTTAGTTTATTGAAGAAAACATTTGATTGGCTTATTAAAGCAAATAAAAAGAAAGGGAGGAAATTAAACTTCTGTTAAATATTTTCTTTGGTTAAAAATCAGTTTAACTGCACTATTTCCAGTATGTAGCTCAATTCAACATTATTCACACACCTTGACATTTCTTCATTTTTCATGGTACAATCACAAAAAATGCAAATCTAATGTATTGTCTAAATAGAAGAAAAGTTATTTTTTGTTATTTTAAGGACATCAGGGTGAAGCATGCAAGCCACGCTTATTATTTTTAAATAAATAAGTAAAAAAAATCCTTAACTTTGTGCTACATTTGATTGTATAAAAAAGTCAATATAAAAAAAACCCCAGCCAAGATAAAATAAACAAAAAAACAATCCAGGTGATTAGTTATTTTTGAACAGCAATTTAAGTATGCAGCCCTAATAAGTACTGGTGTCAGGTTCCCTTTACTCACAGAGAAAACGAATACAATCAGAGAACGAACAAGTTCTACATCTTAACTTAACATTAAATACCTATATATATATTTTTTAATCCGTTGTAATCAAAATATTTCAAATGCATGGAAAGCAGTGCGGCCTTACATAATGGAAGTTCATATCTTATATCATTCTTAACTCAAACCACATATAATTTACACCAGAAAATCTAAATAACTGATAAAAATGAACTCCCATCCGCATCATAAAATAGGAACGTTGGGACTGAGGACGGCTGTGTTCGGCGGCGCAGCTTCCTTCGCCTTTGAATGCCGGCAGCACCTTTTGTCTGAAAGCTCTGTAATGTTTGCAGCGATGAGCAGATAAGTACTCTTTCTATTTATACATCGAGATTTGGTTCTGGCCCAGAAAAAAAAAAAGATCCGAGTTGATTAGCGAAGCAATGAAAGGCTTTGTGGCACATTAAAAAGGAGGGCCTTCATCTCAAAACAGTATTCATATACACTGCATGCAGACATCACAAAAAATTCCTCATTCATCCCATTTAAGGACAAAGAACGCATCACCCTTGTTTGATTGAAAGAAAAGAAAGAAACATTAGGAAACGCATTTATTTGAAAGCTCAGTTTTCCCAGATGAGAAAAATACTTAGAATAATTTATCTTCTCCCTCCTTTTAAAAAGAGCAGTGAGTTACTGAACAGTCTAAACATTGGGAGGGACAGTCAGAGCTTTCTGCCTTTCAGTCTTATTGCATTTAACACACACATACCCACACCCACCCACCCACTCAGATCACCCATTAGCTCATATTACAGTTTGCAAGAAAAGTATGATTGAGCAGCAGAAGTGTTTCTGGCTAATGGACAGACCAGCAAAGTTCACATCTTGTTATGTTTGGCAAATATACACAAATATGTACCTAAATATACATCTGGCATACGAGGTATTTCCTTTCAGCGATTGAAGTCTTAGCGTTTCCATCTGATGCTTATTCTCTCATTTTTCGCCTTGATGAGCATCCAGGCCACCTTATCCTTCGGTCGACGTAAGTTAATCTGACGAGTTCACTGTGTGTGTGTCTGTGAGCTTCTCCAGGAGCTCCAGTTAGTTTTATGGGCCAGGCAGGGCGCGGCTGGATCAATTTCCTCTCGTCTGCAGGAGAGACACAGCCTGTCGAGACTCCGGGGCCAGCAGCCTCCCTGCTGGCCCCAGTCAATTCCTCTCTTCTCTTTAAGCCCTCTTCATCCTTGCGGGCCTCTCAGCTAAAGAAGTAAGTGGACTCTTTCACCCGTTGGAGATCAAAATCACCTGGAGAGACAGAAGGCAAGGATGTCAGGGCGGGTTAGAGTCAGCGGGCAGAGGTTACACAGAATAACTGCACTACGTTCCATCTGCTAATCATTGCTAAGGTTACAGCTAGAAAATAGGCTGCAATGGGTTGGGTGAATTTTGTGCTGTAGGATAAAAACATTTCAAACACTCTATAGGAAAAGGAAATACTTAAAGAAAGAATAAACTCAATATCTGTAACTTCAATGTGGAAAAAATACACAATCAACAAAGACTTTGGTTCTAAAGTTTATATAACATTAGTTCTGCCAGTCATTGTACATTAATAACATTGTAATTTTTTGTTTAAAATCATTTAATTAATGTAAATTACATTTTCCTCTAAATAAAAATATTGAATTGGATAGTGTGTGCACAGAGATAAAGCCCAGAGTGATGGAAGGAGGCTTTCCAAGCTCAAAAACTCATCACCACACAGGAAATGTTAAATCACTAATGGAGAGACACAAAAAGGTGCTCAGCAACTATAAGATGGGATTGATCATGATAATTCTCATAAAGTATATTTATTACTGAAGGGTTTACCTATTTTCAAAATGCCAAATATTTTCTTTGTTTTTACAAAATGAGGAAAAAAAGCCTCAAACAGTCTGTTTTTCAAACTGAACATTAACCTCTGTTTTATCAATTTGACAAAAACTGGAACACGACAAAATTATAGTTTAGTTCTTGTAAGAAGAGATGACCAAAGAGCAGTAGCTGTAGTCCTGGCCTGTAGTTGATCACCTCAAGAATGAATCTGCATCATGGATCTGATCTCTACAGTCATTTTCTTATATTATAAACATTAAAAATTGAAACATTATTAAGTCATGTACTAAAGATCACATTCATATTTTGAGGATATTCTTTGGGACAGGCAGCACCTCTTTGATCATCCATTTTACCCATTCATTTAAAGCACACTCTGCACCAATAAGCTGCCAGGGTCAAGCATCAGGATTAGATTGAAAGTTGGTGCCATTTGAGTTTACAAGCCTCTCAGAATCCTCAAAAGATCATGACTGGTTTAAATTAATTTGCTAAGTAATATGGTGGCGTATCACATTTCAAAAACATGATGGACAATGTTAAATACCAAGAAGACGATAATATTGTCCTAATGTTTTATTTTTTCATCATGTGTTCTCACGGCTCTCAGAGAGCTTTAACATCTCAGCCAGTATGTATAATCACAAACGTACTTGGAACCTCATTTGTTGCAGAAGACAATAGGTTTTTGTATTTGGCTCCATCCATCTTCCCATCAACTTTGACTATCTTTCCTGTCTCTACTGAAGAGAAGTAATCTGACCCTCTCAGTTTTTCCAGGTCAGTTAGGCTTCAGACTCTCTAGTCTAAAACAGAGCTACCCAATCACAGCTCGGAAGGCGGGCTCAAAATGCTACATTGCTTCTCCATAACCATAACAGAAAAAAATGCAGGAGCAATGGAGCTTTGTTTTATGGATGCACTTTTATCACGTCCCAAAAAAAAGCTGTTAACATTTCTATACTAGACTAATAGACCAGACTAATGTACTGTGTATACGGTGTAAATTAGTTTGGCTGGCCAGGCTACAAGAGAAGGACCCTGACAGCATGATACTGCCAACACCATATCTGACAGTGGAGATGGTGTGTTCAGAGTGTTAGACCTTGTCTGACCAAAGCACCTTCTTCTACATGCTTGCTGTATCCTCAACATTGTTTCTAGCGAAGTGCAAATTGAACTTCTTATGGTTTTCTTTCAATAATGGTTTTCTTCTTGACACTCTTCCCTAAAGACCGCATTTGTGCAATGCATGAGAACTAGTTATCCTATGGACAGACTCCCTACCTAAGATGTGGATCTCTGCAGTTCATGCAGAATCACTGTCCTGGCTGTTAAAAGTGCTCTCCTTGTAAGTTTAGATGAACGGCCTTGTACTGGTAGGTCTATAGTTCTGCCGAGCTCTTTCCATTTCCGGGTTATGGATTGAACAGTTCTTCGTGATGAGTTCTAAACTTGGGAAATCTTTTTACAGCCTAAGCCTGCTTTAAACCGCACCACAACTTGGTCCCTGAACTGTGTGGTGTGTTCCTTTGACCTCATGATGCTGTTTGGTCCACAACATAGTCTCAACTTCTGAGGCCATCAGAGAACAGCTGTATTAGTACTGAGATTAGATTTCAGCTGGACTCTATTTAGTCAGTAGCAATTAGTAGGCGACTTCTGAAGGCTACTGGTTGCACTTAAAGGAAGCTGCATATTTTTGCACACTATACCTTTTACTTTTGTGTTTTTGTAGAACATGTTTGTAGAACTTTTCTTCTACTTTCAATTTTATTTTAGTTTGTGTTGTTCTTTCACATAAAATACCAATAAAATAAAGTTATATTCATGGTTGACAGTTTGTCCAAATGAGGAAAGCTTGAAGGGGGTATGATTAGTTATGCAAGCAGTATCGGGTGCAGAAATCGAAGGTGAAGAGAGTATTTTTAACTGGGAAAAAAGATTTCTCATCAGGCAAGTTTGAGATTAAAAATAAAAAAAAATGTATTTATAGAATCCTTTAATACAACCACAGCTGTCAAAGTGCTGTATATAGCAAGGAGATAAAAGGCTATAAAATCGACATAACAGTTTAAAAGAATAAATCAAGTAAAATTAATTTATAAAATTTAATTAAAACAACTCAACTGAAACAGAAAGACTATCATACTGTATTGGAAGCCAAAGCAAAACAATAGGTTTTATGAAGAGTTTTAAAAATGGACAGTGAGGAGGATATTGCCTTCAAGCAGTTATTTGTAATTATGCAATATTATTTTATCCTCCAGCCTTGACTGTCTATACATGAAATAACTCCAACCATTACTATTTATCTATCATAGAACATGCCACACAGTGATTGGAGAAACACTTTCTCTCTGTCGAAATACAGTTTTATTTTAAGTAAAACATTTCCAGTAGGAGATAAAATAAAAGCTTCAGGGTCTTATTGGGCAGCTGAACATTTCCTCTGAACTCTGGTAAAGCATCCAAATGCTAATTTTAGCTCAGCGTGAGCTGCTGTCCTGCTCTGTGTGCTTTGCTCTCTGGCAGCTGTGTTCACCACTGGCATCTACAGCGTAAATTATTGAGGAACGGACATTAAATAATGAAGAGTGAAAGAAAAGCAAAACTGTGACATTGGTGCTTTAAAGAATAAACTAACTTATGACCTGTTTGTTGTTGCATCAAGGTACATATTGATATTCTATAAACTGCTACTGTTTAATAGCATGATGGTGCATCATTTACCTTCCAAACCATCTACTGCACAAAGTGTTTTTGTAATTGCATTCGATCTACATGTTGGGTTGCTGTAATGTATTAGCTGGTACTTATATTAAAAAAAACAGGGCTGTGTTCATATTTATACAATAATGTTTAAAAAGCTGCATTCAGCTAATTTTGGAAAATATGTTAGATCAGCCTTCTCCTGAAAAAATACCTTTACATTAAAAATATTGAGTGGCTTGCTAGATAATTCCCATATTTAGATTCTGATGCGTTTCCATAACTAATTTCAAAGTATTGTTTTTAAAATCGGAGATATAGCAATAAAAATGCTTTAGAGGCAACATACTCTTTTTTTTCTACATTTTCTAATCTCCACTGGAGTCTCATTTGATATCAGTTTAAATACAGCTGGCCTTCGGCTGAGAGGCAACAACAAAGTCATATTTACGGTTTGCAGCAAGCTATGCTTGGACTAACATATTGGGCCACTTGCAAAAAGCTACAGTATGTGCTGTATATTCCTTGAAAAATGGTGGGGTCAAGATAACGCTACGGGACTACAATTTTCAGCAAAGGGAGGGAAGCCAGTTGATTGGAAGATGGAGTAAAATAATGGCTGATTCAGGAAAAAAAAAATGTTAAGCTTAAATACGAAGGCAGCAGATATTCACTTACCAACAGGACAATAACCTTAAACTTAAAGATAGAGCTTTGATGGGTTTTCATCAACAGTAGGTGTCCAAAGTGCAGCACAATTGTACTGTGTGCACCACCAATCAGGGGGAAAAATGTGTTTAACAGTCCAAGTATTGATGTACAGACACATTTTTGTGGCATTTTCACCTCATTTATAAAACATTGCATAGGATTCATACGACAGTGTACATATGCAAAAAAATGTGTACACCCAAAATAATCTCAGATTCATAAATTTGTGGGCGCGATCACCCATTATTTCTTTAGAAATCAAAGCTGTACCTCAACATGTGAGAACCAGATTTCCTTTTTGCTCCATCCTCTACACGGCCACATTTAACAATAAACGGTCAATACAAATACACTTATTAATATTAATGTGTATTTGAATGAGCCACTTAAACAGTTATCCCATGGTAAACAATGACTACAATAGAGAAGAGAGTAATTTTATTTTATTTTTTTTCATTATTTTAACTGGGGGCCGAAATGGATGTGTTGGTAAATGAGGTGGAGAATCAAAGAAATATTTTTTAGCAACAGAATTGGTAACAAATTTCTAACAAGTTATTAATCTGATATATGCACTCGTTATATTATCAATAAGGCTGAAACAAAAAATCAAACTAGTCGGGAATTATCGATTATTGAAATAATCGTCAACTAATATAGTAACTGATTAATCGTTAAATGGATTTAAGGGACTCTTAAACATGCCTTTAGCTGACAGAGCAAACCACCTGCAGCAGTGATTATATCAAAATATGACAAAGAATATCTAAAGATTTTGCATTTAAGATCATTTTTTTTTGTCTGTCCATATGCTCTATCCAGAACTCAAGTGGAAACATTTCAGTTTCACCTGATTTAATTTTGCAAAAAAACTTCTGTTGTGGCCCAGCTTTGATGACACAAAAAAGTGGAAATCCACAGAGGCCACAGATGCACCATGGACTTATTTTACGCAGGAAAAAGAATAAATGTTCCAGGTAAACTCCTTTAGTTTTCTCAGTTTATTTTTTCCTCAGGCAAGCAAACAAAAAAGACAAACATTTCCACCATGTTTTTCTTGCGCTGGTAAAAAACCATACGCCCACCCAGATGCATGCTGGTCCTACCATTGACTGCCTATGTATAAAAAAATAATTCACCTAAATTAATCATAACTAACCAAAAACAAAGGAACATGACTAAATAACCAGAAAACATAATCTCAAAACAGATATCAAATAATAAAGTAAACAAAAATTTTTTTAATTATTAAAAAAAATAATTGGCTCCTACAAATTCTTTATGGAACATTTGGCTATACGATTATTAATCGATTTGCAAAATAATCTTTAATTGCAGCTATAATTATCAGTGCTGTTTAATATGTACTATGCTTGGCACTTTCTGTGAAATCTGAGCTTTATTGATAATTTAACTGAATTATTTTGTGTAATGAAACATGGCTTCAGAAGAAGTTCATTCATTGTTGATTATTTCACCACCTGTGGGAGAATTTGCTCTGGTAAAGCATGTTGCATACTCGTAAGGCTGGTTAACGAACTGAGAAATGTGTTCTTATTCACAAGGTTGCAATAAGAGAAAGTTTGTTTTGCTGCAGGTTATGCAACATCTGCATAAGAAAACACAACAGCAACATAAAGGCAGATGAGTTTTTTAAAGATGGACAAGGGGAAGGGGAAAGCAAAATGCTTTATACTACTCAGAAGACGTATCTTAAAATTTTTTATATGTTCTCACTACCTCTGCCGGCTGATCCTCAAACTTTCTACACATTTCTCCTCCTCAAATCATGTCCAAATTCCCACCAGTAAACAAAAGTGGAAAATCATCTTTGCTTTTCAAATCTTGACTAATCGCTCATCTGTTGTATCGAACCCACCGCGAGAAAAAAAGCTCTGCCCAGGGTTTGCGTTGAGAACAAGCAGCGGGAACCCCAAAGTAAACTTTAGCATTAAGAGTGAGAAAACAACCTCTGGCTTCTTGTAGAGTATGGATCAAGCTTAAGAGCCGATTGCCAGGAACCCCAGAGTCATTGATAGCTGTAATTTTAAATAAAAAATAACATTCGCAAAAAAGCAAAAAATCTGTGTCAGCAGAAGTCTGTGGGATTTGTCAGATTTAATTTGGGGAAACAGTGATATATTAAATTTTTTCCCCAATCTCTCTCCAGAAATGTGGATTATCTTTGATCTGTATTTATTGGACTAAGAATATATCTTTAACGCATCACTTATTTGTCTATGTTACATAAGTAATTTATACATACCTATAATTGATCAATATTTATTAGAGATTCATCAAAAATTAATTTAAGAGTTTTTCTTTAATAGCCCGTCTTAAAGATAAAATACATTCTGGTTCATTATCAAAAGCAACATAATTTTCCTGACAAAAAAATAATAATTTCAGTTGTAAGTAAATCAAACGGAGCCATTGCTGAAACATTGACAGACATTTGATAATCAGCTGAAGAATGACTGAGATCATGTGTCACCTCTCCAAACATTTAAATACATTTTAGTCTGAATTCATTCATCTGTTGTTTGAACAAATGGAAAGGAGACACGCACACATTGAGGTGCACACCTGACTGGTCTCAGCCACATAAGCTGATTATGCAAGAGAGGGACACAATTAACTCTAATCAATTTATACAACCCAGCTGTCAGTGCCAAGCAAAGAGTGAAGGTACAGATGGAGGCAGAGAGACGGGGTTGCATAACAGGAAAGCCTGAATCCACCTCAATGACAGAAGGAGGTTGTCCCGGACAAAACCCCAATGGCATCAAAGGAAAAATGGGAACCTGGATCAAATCAATGTTGACTGTTTGATCCAGAAAGATCAGGGGTAAGTTTCAAGAAGCAGGTTTAATAAACTCAGATTCAAATCTGCAACTCTAAATTGATCTAGCCTAAAGTGGAGAATTTGAGTTTTTGGTTTCACAATGGTTGTTGATTGATAATTAGTTCAATCAACTCCAAGTAGAACCACTCAGAGTTGAGCGGTGCGTAACAAGTATGAAAAGCCATTATCAGAGGAGCCCCAATACGACGAGTCACTATGACAACAGTCGAATGAGCTGTAGAATCGTCTCACAATATATATTCAATTCTCTGTGAAAAAATGCTGCTCATTCTTTAAAAAGATCCTTATCAAATGAACATTTAATGTTTTGGATAAGGCCTAATCTGTCTAACAGACCAAGTGAATGATTTTTAAAAATATTTTTTTCCAAATCAAATAAGGAAATAAAACAGCGGGATTTCCTGTAAGGAGAGCGGAGACGGAGGAGACTCAGTTTACTGAAGTAAACCTGCTACCGACCAGGTTAGCTCTGGGGAAAATGTTACTATAGTGACTAAAACAGAGGTCAAGGAACATCTCTTTGTGAAACTGAAAACACAGTTTCTCTGTTTTCAGGTTTAGAAAACTTAGAGTTTTCAGTAAACCTGCTTCATGAAACGGACCCCTGGTCTATAAAAAAATAAAATAAACTAGTGAAAGGAAAATAATTCCTCAGTCACAACTGAAATCTAACTCATGCTGTAAATATTTCACAGTCAGCTGACCTTTTTAAGTAATAAGTAAATGAATGAAAGGTAGTATAATATTTAAAAAGATGGAGAGCTGTCTATCCCTGATGCACCTTAAAGATAACCTGATCCTCGGAACATTCAGGTGTTGTACTGACCTGTCTGGGGCACTTTGGCCAGAAGCAACATCAGCCTCCTGTATTCCTGGTACTTCTTCTTCTTAGCTTCTGTCCTGTGATTAAAAAGATAAATAAAAATAAAGATACGAGAAAGAAGAGACAAACATGTGACCAGCACTTGTTTTGATGATTGAGGCCCATTTTGTGTTATCAGTACTTTTGTTTGATAGCGAAACATTTTACAGCTTCCTCCAAACCTTATGGTATGAATGACCTGTCTAAGACGACCAAAACAGTTTTATTTCTAAAGATGAGCTGTTTAAGACCCAAATAGTTAGACTTTAACGTGACCAGCAAAGACAGACCAGCAATGCTTAAAAATATTTTTTCTTAGCTCTGTGTTTCAATCATCAGATGAGAAATATTGTTAACATAACAAACATATCAGCTCTGATTATTGAGCTGAAATAAAAACAATAAAAAGATTTGAGAAATAAATAAAGGCTCAGAGCTTTACTGAACAGGTGACCCTGCATGCCATACAGCTGGTGCTGCAAGAATGCCGTTTTCTGTTTTAAACAAAATTATAAGTAAACATGCATTCATATAGTTTCGAAAGCATCTCTTTTTGTGCAGCTCTATGAGACTCTGATGACTTTCAGACTGTCTGTGGAGTTCAGTAAAAGTGATACTAAGAGTTTAAAAGAAGGTTAGGCTTGTAGTGAAGTAAGGGCTCTGGAGAGGGGCCCAATTATCCAAAAAAGAGGAAAAAAAAAAAAAAAGAGACAGTCGATGATTATAATCCAGCCTGAGGCCAGTCAGGCTGGCACAAATGGTGAAAAGTTTTGGATCCACAGTCACAGGCGACTGGAGAAAAAACACGCTCCCATAAGCTCACATGCTCTGTTTTGTCTGTGTATGTTTGCAGTTGGTAACAGCTTTTCATAAAAGAATAAAGACATTAATGCCATTGATGATATGCTGTGAGGAAACAAGCAAAACAGAGAAAAAACCTATAAATACAAAACCCTACTTTCTCACCCACCCTATATATATGTTCCTACTGAATGCTATTTCTCTGTGCTTGTGCCTGAACACATTGATGCTCACATCTCTTAAGCTTACAAATCAAATGTGCTTCTAAATGGAGGTGTGTAAACCTACTGGATTGTGGAGCAGTATTTGTGCAGCAGAAAGTCGGACAGCTCTTGGAGAATCGGCTGGCTGTGGAGGGCAACGAACTGCTCCCGGCAGATCTGACAGGAGGGAGACGAGGTGAGGAAACGTTAGTCTCATCTGAGCACTTCATCAGAAGGAAGCGTAAACCAGCTGAGCAGATAGCAGGTGGACAGAGGTGAGACCGGGTAGAGTGAAAATGACAACAAGTAAAGTACAGCTATGTCAACAAAAATAATAGATGTTAAACAGCTCTATGCTGCCGTAACTGTCTTTTTCCTTTTCAGTTTTTATTGCCTAAACTCGGAAGATCCAAAATAAGTGTTGCTAAACTGCACATGCAATTTATTTTAGTGTGTGTAAAAAGTGGCGAATTGGGGGTGATCTACAAAGAGGGCTGCGCAGATGTTAAGCTGTGCAAACAGTACATTTTGCTCATTAAGGTGAGCAGATTGCATATTCTACTGGTAGTTTGAGAGAGGCCCTAAAGGACGGATGAGGTTTAAAGCTATAAAGACGCAGGGAATGACAAGAATTTAAAGAAAAAAAAAAAAAAAAAGAAACTGTAAATCAATTTACATCAGTTAATCTGGTGGAGAAGTGCGAGAGCTCGTTTTCAGAGTTGAGCGCACGGCAGACATGTTTTTGAGTAAGGGTGTGCGAGTTTAAATGATGTACATTGTTCTTACTGCACACTCAGGCCGGTGGCACCAAAATCATGCCATAGATGTTGAGCAAAAGAATACGAAATGCAAAGTTTGTCTGTAAACTGTCCCCTACCACCTACAGTTAGTTCTGCCTGTTGTGAAAATAATCAAGCTGCTACTGCTGCTGTCATTGGCTAAAAAACTCTACATGGGAAGCAGGTAGCCAATCAGCTCGAAGAATTGGACTGAATGCCCCTCCCTTTTGCAAATAGTTTCTACAGGAGTCTTCCCAGATCGATTTGTCTATTTTTATTCTAATTCCACACGGCCCTTTTTCACGCATTCACCATGATGCCAACTTTAGAATCTGTTATATATGTTATAATCTGCAGAGCTGAGCATCACAGATAAAACTCTGAAATATTCAGTGCTATAAAACATGTCTAAAGTAACACTTGGAGGAGAAAGCAGGATGGGAAGACAAGAATAAGAGCTTCATGACGGTGGATGTTTATACTACAGTCCTACCCTAGCCCACAGAATGGGAAGAGAGATTCCCGACCTTTCAATTTAAACCCTAACCTCCCCCCAAAAAAACAACACAAACAACAAAAAAACAAAAAAAACTGAATGCACCTGAATAAGTCTTGAGTCAAATCTCTGCAGCAAGGTTAGATTAATAAGCAAACAGCAATATGAGGGCTAGAAAAACATTTTTGCATCATTCCTCAGAGAATAAAAACCCAGTGTGAGCTGTCTCCCAACCATGCAAAGCCGCCCGCCACCCAATTAAAATCCACAGCTGTGCCCACATCTTCAGAGCCGTAAGGAAGCTTTCAAGGAAAAAAAAAAATATTCTATGCATTACTTGCATGATTTATGCAGCAAATGTCAATTTCCTCATAAATACTGAATTATTCTGATTGGTCAATCTATCATGCAGTAAATCCTGTTCTTGATTACCTCCTGGGCAGGCTGCCACAGTAGAAATTGGGAAGGAAAGGATGGAGAACAGACTGCTTATCATTTAAACAATTGCTTAGATGACTAATATATCTGGTGCCCGTCTGCTCTTCTGCTGTTTTCAATTACCTGTGTAACGAGAAAGGCGTACGCCCCTCCAATCAAAAGACAGAGAATAAATGCAGTGAGAGGAAACCGCTTCATTGCTTCTAACTCCTCTGAGATCGGGCAAAGGCACAAAACGGAAACCGGGCTCTGACAGCGTCTCTACAGAAAATTGGGGTTTAGTGATAATTTGATCCGTTTTATTCTGCACCGTCTCTCCGTCTGGATCTCCCTTCGACATGCAGAGAGAGGCCGGTATTTATTCAGCTTGACAGGCTCAGTTTGCTCCCTGCATCCTGACAATGTATCAGCCAGAGACAGTTGGAAGTTTGTATCAGTGGCGTCACTTAGACGAAGTGCAAGTCATTGATACAGCACAGATTGATTTGATCTCCTGCATCCTAAATGTCTTGGTTGCTTAAAAAAAAGCCATACTCTTTCCTCCGACAGCATCAAAGTGAGACAAAGATGGGAGTATTGAATCACATATGCCATCCTTACCTTCACTGAATCTTAAAAAACACTGATGAATCATGGTCGGGCAGGAGGGGAACAGCTGTGAACGGACGATAAGGATGGGAAGAGATGGACGAGAAGAAGGGATTGTAATGCAATACCTTGTTCATGGTGTCCACAGTGAGGGCGTGGGTCCAGAAACAGTCGTGAACTGAGACGAATGTCAGGCCGGCACTGAGAGAGGACAAGAGAGGAGGCAGTAAAGCGTTATAAAAGATCCAAACAGCCAAGCTTTGAAGGGAAGGCTGTAAACGTCAGAACAAAGCAAACACTTGTTTTATAGCATGTAACTTGAAAGACCCGATCCATCGCAAATCTCTAAAAATAACGAGATCTGTTTTATATGCAGTGACTGCTTTGACGTTATGTCCACTTAGGCCCTCAAAATAAACTACTGATGTAAAATAATAAAAAAAAAGACTTCAAAGTAATGTCAGGACTAGATGTGATACTTTTTAAACAGTTATACCTGTAGCAGTAGAGTGAAGTCAGCATCATATGTGTGGAGTCCAGGGAGTGGATGAAGTTAGGAGGGAATGCATTCTTCTGTTTAACTGTGTCAGGTCTCCTGAAACAGCACAGGCAAAGAAAATATATTAAAGAAAAAACTTCAGTTGGGCCTAGTGGGCCACAGCCTCCTGTCCAACCCTTATATACATACATAAACACAGATATACTTACACACATACAACTGTTGTTCTGATTCAGAGCTGTGGTAAAGGCTTTTTTACTTAAAACCTGGGCTAGATGATTAAAGGTTGCGATCAGTGAAACCTCTATTACTCTAAATTCCCCCAAAATTGAAATTTTGATGCTTTGTTGCCCTCTATATCAAACAAAATTCAAAGCAATGCTAAACCAACTCTAAAACTAAAGTAGAATGATACACCACAGTAAAAAGGCCTGCTTTTAAATTTGAATATCGGTATTCATTATTTAGTAAAAAGCAAAAATTTTGTTTCAACAATCTGTCTAATCCAAAAATATTATTAAGTTGGATACAAGTTCAACTTCATTGAAGAAAACAATTGAAAAATTTTACAAATTTAGACTTATCTATGAATCAACACAAAGTAAAGTCTGGAAAACAGTTTTTCAGTCCAGGTGTATTTAGACATGGAAAATAAATCAAATTCCATATTTATCAAGTTTGCATAGGAGCCCTGTACAGTATGGGACATAAGCTGCACCCCATTAAGTCAACAGCTAGACAGAAATTCCTCAACCCCAATTTTAAATAGAGCTCCAGATATCATGCTACCTGGATAGAATAAAATAAAACCAACCAAAACAGTGATATTATACCTTCTTTAAATTTTTTAATCTCCGACCAAAGAGAGCCACGTGTCAAGTTTGGCCTAGACTGTGCTGCATTTACTGAAGCAGGATCGTCAGTTTTAAATTAAATGGCAGAACTCCCTCCTACTTTTAGCTCTTGGTTCCCTTCACCCCGATGCTCTTCCTGTACTCTGGCTGCTGTTTCATATTCACACGGCAGAATCTGCAGTGTGGTGGATGTCAGACTAAAGAGGACAGCTGTCAGTCTTTCCATCCATGTCTCCAGTGCTCTGCTCCGGCCATTACTTCACTTTCCATTCCTGTCTCTCAGTCTGTCACTCTTTGTTCAGTCTTGTTCCTCTAGACTCTTCAAACTCCACCTTGTCACAAACTTTCCCCTCAACACTGAAGATATTTAATGCGCATTAGAGGAAAATGATTTTTTAAATCAATTTATTTGTATCAGCAGGGTTTAACTTAATTGTTTTAATAACCTTAAAGTGGTCATCATTTGGAAATAAGATGGGGTTTTTTATGTTTAAACATGTAAAACATGATCTACAATTAAAACCTGCTGGGAAATCTGGAATGTTAGTGCTTGTTTTTTTTTTGTTGTTTTTTTTAGCTCTTTGTGAAAACCAAAACAGTTTTACACTCAAGGCTATTTTGGCACTAAATCCTCCGACCATCAGTAGGCAACACGGCTGAAGTGTCTTGCCCAAGGAAAAACAACTCTGGGTCTCTAATCAAAACCCTTGACCCAAAATTGCTCCCAAGGCGCCGCACAGTGGCAGCCCACTGCTCCCCAAAAGGGAATGGGTTAAATGCAGAGAGTTCATTTCTCCATCATAAGAAACACATTTCAATTTCTTAAAAACACCATCATTACCTCTAACTACATGGCTTAGAGCCTCATCAATATATAACAGCCACTTTCAACTGCCTGTAGAAAGTGATATGCTCATTTTAAAGGGTGTTTTGCATTTCTTAATATTTGCGCAGCAATCTTTGTAGAATTTTAGCAACAAGCTGTCTTATTGCATATACTGAAAAACTGCATGAGTAATTTGGAGCCCTGAGTGAATGTTTGAAGATAAGGCATTGAGAGTATAGGGTAGTTTTCACAGGCAAGGTTGCCAGGACTACGGTTTAACCTGCTGTTACTTTTTTCTAGAAAGACTTAAGACAGATTTATTTTGTCATTTTGCATACACAAATTTCGTTAAGAACAGAAGAGCTCTTTAGACAATTTCTTTTTTTTTTTTTTTTTTTTGAAGTGCAGCCCTGAAAACAGTAAAGAAAAAAAAATACATACAAACAGTAATATAAACATATGACTGTATAGTTACAGTTCTAACATTTCAGTTTTTTTTTTAAATAATAGAATATAATAAATATAACAAAATACAATAAAATAACCAATTTTACATAACAATAACCCATTTTACATAACAACGCTTGAACAGTTTCTCCCGTGAAATCTCTATTTGGTAACAATTTATCTTTGTCTAAAAATTGTGTTTGCTGATTTGAAACATTACAGGTTGCCAAAAGAGCAAAGTGGATGTAATCTGTGAGTTCAGCATTTTGTTTTTCAATGGGAGTCGATCTGAAGTGTTTTCTTTAAAGCTTTAAAGCTTATTTAAACTGCATTTTGAAAATAATTAGACAACAAGCACAGTATAATAGGAGAAAACAGTGCAGTAAACACTCTGCTCTGTTTTCAGGTAACTACTATCAAACCTACTGGTGATATTTAAGTGAAAAGTGTCAGTGAGGGCTATGAGAGAAGAATGTTATATCACTGCAGGTGCTGGGTCAGTTTTTGTGACAGATAAAAAACTGGGTGTAAGATATATAAAAGATATCAACAGGAGGACTTACTCTTTGGCATCATGGCTGATTTGGAGGTTTATGTGTTGCATTGTACTCTTCAGCTAGAAAACAAAAACAACAGAATTAATCCTTTAGAACAGTTGGTTAACTTATCAAAATAAATAGGTAGAAAAAGAATTGTTTATTAAGGACACAACATTTTAAAATTCTAAATCTAAAAATCAATGTCAGATGCCCATAGCATACATTAAACATATATATGTGTGTGTCTGTGTGTATCCCGTTTAAACATTTTAAAAAAGACCCAACAGAACATAAAACGATGGGCTTTGGTTTCTAAATTAAAGGCAACGAGCCCCAGCGTTGTTAATGTGAACATCAAGAGGATTACTTATCCCCATAATTGTTTCAAAAATGCAATCATAGTGATTTAAAATAGGGTCTTCTGACAGAATCCATCCAATGGGCTTCTATTGATTAAGTTACTGGAGGGAAGACTAGTTGCTGTTTGGGATCAGCCAATGGGAATGCAGGTCCAGGCCAGTGATGCTGATTGGCCAACAGAGTCATTAAATTGGACAGAAGGGAGACATCATTATGAAATTAAACCTCACTTTTTAATAGTTATGTTGTAGCTTTTACAAAACTGCAGGAATTAAATAAAAATGCCTGAAAAAAAAAAAATTTATTTGGATAAACTTTCAAATTCAATCATTCTTTTCATTATCTTAAATAAATTTCATATCAATAAGCTTAGCATTGCATTATTAGGAAATATATTTCATATCAATAAATAAGAGTTTTACTTGCATGCAGTTATTTACCATTTTATTGTATTGTAAGTATTATTTATTCAAGTAGATACTTATTTCACAATTCTGAGTACCTTGACATTCCTTGCTTGGAAACTATATGTCGTTTATAGATAGCAGGCTCTGTGAGGAACTTTTCTTTTTGGGCTTATGACAGAACTGTTTAGTGGTTCGCTTTATTCCATGTTGAGGTACAACATCTAGTTTCACACACATTAGGGAATTATTTATGCACTAAATTAATAAAACTATTTCTCCCTGGTCTTCCGTTTTTTTTATTTTTTATTATTGTTAAAGATTTTTAGTGTTTAACAAAATCTAATAACTGCAATCAAATAGCTGCAATTCTGAAATAAAAAAAGTGATGAATATTGTCCGTCTATTTTACAATAACAATAACCATAATTTTATTCATGAAACAGCTGGTGCCGACTTCGATGGACTTTCTTAAGATATTTTGCAGAATGTTTTTCGATAGAACAATGGTTTAACAATATTCATGCAAATAAAACTCGGAAATGTTACATTTAGGGCTATCTAGGGCTAATTATTATTTATGGAGCTCAGGAAGTGTCAAAAAGAAAACAGAGCTGGTGGAAATAAGTAAATCGTACTCTTGCAGACAAACACTTATTCAAACAGAACTACTGTAAATCCAGATGCATCTTGACAGAACAATGCATTTAAATGATATCAGCAGATTAATGGAGAGAGTGAGAGGCAGACTGAACCACAAAAGAGGAAAAGCTAATAAAAAAAAAAAAGTCATCCAAGGTTTAAATTCTGAATGTTGCTCAATTTACTTTCCAGCTTGGATTTACAATGAAATGTTAATATTTGTGATTTGGCACCAAACACAGTAAATATAACCTGCAGAAACTCTATTCTGAGTGACAAACAATATATGTTGTTGTTCACAGTAAATGTCTGTAAACAACAACGAAGTGACAAAATGCTGCTTTGTCTTCTAAAATCCCTTAAAGATGGAAACTATTGGACCATTCATACCTGCACTCTGATCAGACACATAAACTAATCACAACCCCAAAACTGCTTTCTTTGTATTTCAAAATAATCATTAAAGACCATTTAAAAAGTTCCTCTAAGAAAAAAAAAGAGCAGGAATAAGAAGAAAGTTGAAAGATATTTGTCCGTTAAATGCATTTAAATATTCTATGGAGTACTGTAACAGTGCAGCAAGTTTAATGACAGTCCAGTGACTTGTTATGGAGTCTCTAAAGGCGTTAGGGGAGGTGTTGCATCAAGCTATTCAAATCAGCAGCTTCTGATACTATCCAGGTGACTTCCAGCTAGAATGAAAGATTTTGAAGTCTCATAGCTTCTTCAAACCTTTTTTGATTTCCAAACATCTGACATCATTGGAAAGCTTAGATCCCACGTTTTCGGTATATATATATATACATCTTGGGTAATCCTGTTTGTGGTTTTTAGCACATTTATTGAATTTTCAGTTTCATACTAATGCAGCACTCCTGAGAGAAAGAAAGCGCCATTAACCACTAGAACCCTGTAACAGACAGGGTTCTAGTGAGAGAAAGAGAAAGGAAAGCTGAAAAAAAGAACAGGCAATTTGCTGGTACATGCTCAAAGAGTCTGCCTCAGCAATTTGAGCACTATTGCTAATCTACAAGACAGTTTAAAAAACAATATACAGCTATTCCTTTCTCAATTTTAAACTACAAATGTCCCTTGACAAAGCTGAAGCTGAAGAGCATTGTTTTGCCTAAACCAGCAACATCACAGGAGTGATGATAAGAGCCTCTTGAAGCAGAGATAAGACTGGCAACAGATAGCATACCTCCTGTCAATATAAGCTTGCACCATTATAATGTTTACCCGGCACCGAGCTAACAGTAATGGATCCCAGTTTTTTCTGTCTCTATTACCCCGCCTGAACACATTTTAGAGATTTCACTGATGGAATGGAGCTTCAGCACTGAAAGGTCCAATTAAATTGTGTTCGGCGTGCTGCAAAGAGTTATCTGTACTGTAAATAATCAAAGTGCTTTTAGACATCCTTAGCAGGCATCAGAACTAAATTACCTGTAGTAAATTGAATGAACAGAAAATGTGTTTGTTTGTTTGTCTGTTCTCAGTGATTAATGAGGACTAATTTGCATTCATTTCCTTGATTTTCGGGTCGAGTGCGAGAAGCTGCATCACAGACAGTGAAATGATCATAATTAATCCATATTAAGCAGCATGATAGATCCACAGTAAGTCACTCAGTGTCGGGTTCCTCGATGTGTATAGCTGAGGGGAAATGAACTCATTAACTCAAGTTATTTACTTTGTAGCTGCAAATCTGGATATTTTTTTTTTTTTTGCATAAGAGCTTTTTAAATGTTCAATATAGCTCCTTCTGAATTTAGAATCCTAATGAAAACATAACTACTGTAATAAACTGTCTAGAAGTCAAAACTTAAAATTCTGTCAGAATAATTAACTTATTTTTGATCCAGATTTTTCCTTTGTTGAAAACAATGATTCTTTCAATGATTACATTCATTTTGGGTCTGTCAAAACGTTCTAATAAGACAGAAACGCAAAAACCACGTAGTAGCCTCTCCCTGCTATAAGGCTTTTTAACACACAGAGTTGTGGAGCCACTTAAGGGGAAATTATAGGAGAAAATACACCATTTGTCTGTCGTACTTCGCTGATTCTACATATTAATGTTAGCAAAGTTAGCAAAAAACAAAAACAACTAACAAACAAAGAAATATCTTGTATAATAAAGTACAAAAAACTGTTATTTTTTATCAGGATCAGTCAATTAAATCCGATATCAAAGAGGTTTCTAGAATTTCCTTCTTTCATCTGCGGAATATTGCAAAAATGAGAAATATCGTATCAGGGGTGATGCTGAGAAACTAATTTATGCATTTGTTACTTCAAGGTTGGACTTTAGTAATTCTTTACTATGAGGAAGTCCATAAACTGTAGTCCAAAGCATTCAGCTGATCCAAAATAATACAGCCAGCCTTCTACTATCTTAGCTTTTTTCATTGGCTTCGTGTTAAATCTAGAATAACATTTAAAATCCTCCCTCTCACATATAAAGCCTTAAATGGCCAAGCTCCACCTTAAATCAGAAATATGATTGTTTCTTATGTTCCTACCAGAGCTCTCAATTTGAAGGATTACTAGTGGTTCCTATAATTTCTAAAAGTAGAATGGGATCTTCTGGTAATCGGGCTCCTCTCCTGTGGAACCGACTACAAGTTTTAGTCCGTGAGGCAGACGCCCTGTCTACTTATAAGACTTAAAATGTTCCTTTTTGATAAAGCTTATAGTGGCTCAGGTTATCCTGAGTTATCTCTATAGTTATGCTGCGACAGGCTTAAAATGCTAGAGAACATAGGGACCTCTTCTCATCATTCTGCTTCATTACATCTCTATTCTTTCATTCTGCAGTATTTGTTAGTTCAATCTCTAACGTTATGCTCTCTTTGCATATCAGCTGTGCTGTTGCCATCAACACCTCTGTTTATAGATGTTGGAACATGGCTGTTTTTCAGTGTAGTCCTGTTTCTCTGACTGTAACTGTATGTGCTCTCTTTCATCCTCTGACATAGGAGCTGGCTTGGAGCTTGTCTGCCTGGCTGTGTGTTTCCTGGATGCGGCTGCCTGTGAAGATGGTTGACAGTTGCGTTTTATATCTCTGCTTGTTTCTGCATGTCTGCTTCTGTTGAACCCCAGTCGGCGTCGGCAGATGGCCTCACACACTTGTTCTGCTGGAGGATTCTTCCTTTTAAAAGGGAGTTTTTCCTCTCCACTGTTGCTACAAGCATGCTTGGTGTGTGGGATTGTCTTCAACGATGGAATCAGCTGGTTTTCGATCTGACTCTATGATCGGGTTGAATTGTCTCTGTAAAGTGCCCTGAGATGAAATGTTGTGAATTGGCACTGCATAAATGAACTGAATTGAATCAATAGTTCAATCTTTATTCTTACTGTTTTTGGACTCATCAGATCACAGTTTTCTCTTACAATTTTGGGCAAACATATAACACACATTTTCTAAACAGGAATAAAAAATAAAATAAAACAAAAACCTTCTTGGTAATATAATCCATATTTTCTAAAGTCTATCCTATAGATGTTTACAGTAGTTGTTTTATGTTATTTCATGTTCATTTAGCTCTTATGGAGGCATCAAATATACCTTTATAACTTAAATGATTTGATTGTATTTTAAGGTAAACTACGAACAGAAAGCATTGCATAATTAGACTTGAAGTAAAATCGTTTCCACATTTCTAACA